TATATATATATATATATATATATATATATATTACTTTTATTTTCATCATTTTAATTATATGATAATTATTGATGTCAAAATAAAATATGATATATTGAAATGGCCGAAAATTTCAAGAGAAAGATACAAAACATATTTTGATTTTTTACCTAATGATATATTTGATTTATATAATCAAATATTTGATTAGTAAAGAATATTTGTCTTGTTGTGTTGGTTGGGGACATTACATTAATCCTAATTTGTTTTGTCCCTAAGTTATTTCCTAGAAATTCATTTAAGTTGTTTATTATAAAATGAAAATACAATCCCTCCCCTTTGAGCTTAATACATTCGGCCATCACAAATAAGAGAGAAGAAAATTTTATTTTGTGTTCAAAGTTATTTTTCTAATGTGTTAGAAATATACACAAAATATTATAAAGAAATATTTATAAGATAAATATTTTTACTATATATTTATTACTCCCAAAGTAGTATTATTATAGTTTTTACTATCCTATATTAAACTTGCTAGGACAAGTTTAATCTTGGACTCCGGAGCAAGTTCGTGTGGATACGTTGGAGGCTTCATACGTTTGGCGCTACGTTCATCTCCTCAAAACCATCCCCGACCGTTCCTCCATTCTCCGTTTTCACCGTTAAGGTAAATTTCTTACTATAGCTAAGTTGTTCTTGGGTGGAATCGAGTTTTGGACAATAAATTTTTTTTTTCCGCTGCGTTATCCAAGCCTCGTTTCCCAACAGTGGTATCGGAGCCGGCTTACGAAGTTACTACTTTAGTAGTTTTTACCGTTACTGTTTTTGTAGATTAGTCAATAAATTTTGGAGACAAAAATTTATCCCATTAAAATTTAATTAGGTGGCCATATTTAGATACTGGACCTAATATAATTTTGTTTAGTAATTTTCGGAATTACTGTTTGGAGTATTTTTATATTATTCTTATTAAGTAGTTTATGTGTAGAATACTTGTTATTTGTGCCATAAATACTTAATATTTATGAAAATTAGATTTTATATTTTCTGGGAAGTATTTGACATGTCAATATAACTCAGAAATTTTAAAATCGATTTTTGGAATTAATTTCCTATTTTTCTATTTTCAAATTCGTTTATTGAATAGAAAATAGGAAAACTTATTTTTGACGATCAAAAATTAATTTTAATTCATAATAAGTTGCGACCAGAGATTTTAAGCTTGTATAAAACTTTTCATAATTTTTAAACACGTAAAAGTATTTATTTTGTATTTTTGAAGTAATTGGATCGGTACTGTTCACTAGTCCGATTTTTAATTATTTTAAATTGCAAAATAAATTTTTTAAATTCTAGAAATATCATATTCTGGTTCTGGAACTTATTTTTGACTTGGAAAATAAATTTTGATATTTTTGGAATTTCGAAATATATTTTCACAATATAATTTCGGTTTTCTATCTTTGAAAAATGGTTTTCAAAATTTTAAATTTTATTCATTCTGGAATTTTAGGATTTCCAGATTAATAAAGTTTACTGGGAGTCTCCAATAATTATTT